GGGGTGGCGGGAGGAGGGGGGGGGGGTGGGCGGCCTGCCACTGGATGGCATTGTGTGGCCACTGGGTGAGGGGCTGTGGCTGCTGGCAGGCCTGGCTCTCGCACATGCCCAGTGGCCAGACTCTATCCCTTTAAGGGCCCCGGGGCTGAGGCAGAGGAGAAGAGTTGTCCTGGTTGTGCCCAGATGGCCACCAGGGAAAACTGGGAAGGGCTGGAGGCCCCCTAATTCGAATAAGTGTCTACACAGCACTTATTTCAAATTAGCTATTTCAAATTTGGTGTTATTCCTCGTAGAATGAGGTTTACTGAATTCGAAATAAGTGCTCCACTATTTCGAATTTATTTTGAAATAGCAGTTTGGCTGTGTAGACGCTATTGAAGTTAATTTGAAATAACTGCTGTTATTTCGAATTAATTTTGTAGTGTAGACATACCCTCACATTACTTAGGAGTATAAAAAAGCCACACATGGGAACACAAGGTCTGTGCTTTCCATACCAGCACTATGTTGGTGGATGACACTTTTCCATCAACATAGCTTCTGCTTCTCACTGAGGTGGAGTAATTGTGCTGAAGAGAAAGCACACTCCTCTCAACATAGCACATCTTCTCAAGACATGCTACAGTGGTGCATGATTTGCCCTCATTCCCATTAAGAACAAGCTACTTCAGAAGATCAATTCTTCATGAAACTGCCTGTAACAGAACATTATTCATTAACATTTGGTGAAGAAAAAACTTCCAGTCAGAAGGAATCAACAAGAAATTATAATTTATCCTTTTTTAAAAAAAAAAATCCTGTGATAACAGATCTGCTAAGTATGGAGGGCATGAAAGGGGTTATGTATGTATGCATATGTGTGAAGGAGAAATCAAAATAATGTGGGTGGAAGAAATGAGAAACTGGGATGTGTGAGTACAGGGGGATGTGGAGGATGTAGTAAGGGAAGGAGAATGTGGAACATTATGGAGAGATGTGTGTATGCCAGGTTATGTAGGGGAAGTGCTGAAGGCTGAGGGAGTTTCATGGTGAATGTTCATATAGTTCAATGCATAAGGAAGGGAAGTTTAGTGTGTTTTGCTACAAGGGAATATGGAGGCTGGTGAAGTACACCTTGGTTGCTTTTACTGCTCTGGCAATGCAAAGGAGATTTCAACCCAGCTTAATTACCCACCGGCTGCGTCTAGACTGGCAAGTTTTTCCGCAAAAGCAGCTGCTTTTGCAGAAAAACTTGCCAGCTGTCTACACTGGCTACTTGAATTTCCACAAGAACACTGACTTCCTACTGTCTGAAATCAGTGCTTCTTGCAGAAATACTATGCTGCTCCCGTTTGGGCAAAAGTCCTTTTCCGCAAAGCTTTTGAAGAAAAGGGCCAGTGTAGGCAGCTCAGATTTGTTTTGCGCAAAAAATCCCTGATTGCGAAAATGGCAATCGGGGCTCTTTTGCGCAAAAGCGCATCTAGATTGGCACGGACGCTTTTCCACAAAAAGTGCTTTTGCAGAAAAGCGTCCATGCCAATCTAGACGCTCTTTTCTGCAAATGCTTTTAACGGAAAACTTTTCCGTTAAAAGCATTTGCGGAAAATCATGCCAGTCTAGACGTAGCCACTATGTTAGGGCCACATTAGGCTGCTCCAGGGTGGATTGAAATAGCCAGAGTATATTGAAGAATCTGGCCACAAAACTTAACATTAAAATAGTTACTTAAGAGTGATTCTTCATATACGTTAGAGCATTTGAAACATAACATGATAACATTCACTAGCTTGTTCAGGATTTATTTATTAAAATGTATTAATTAAAAAAACAGAAGTTTTTCTTCGGGAATTTCAAGTTCAACTGGAGTTACGGTTGCAAATATATATAATTTAAGGTAAAATACACTACAGAGATGATGTGATTATTGCATAATCAAGCATTATAAACACAAGAAATTCAAAGTTAATGCTAAAAGAAATCCTAATATGTTAACTTATGGAACTGCATATACTAGAGCGTCCCGAAAAGCTTATCTCTGCCCTGTAGAGGGGGAACTATCAGATGTGTTTTTAAAATTTATTTAATCTAACCTGAAACTAGAAACACTACAATAACTTAATCATTAATAGATGGCTATTGTATAATATCACTTAGCCCAGTGAGAACACTGGAAATCATTATAGGGTTTATGAAATTAAGGAAATTTACTTTTTTTTTTTAAACAAAAAGAGAGTTTATGAAATTGCACAGAAATCCAGTAGTTACTATTTTAGCTATTTTAAACATCATTTTCTGTGTAGAACATTTATAACTGGTATGCACCTGTGACATAAATGTATTATATAAAATCCTGATCCCATTACACTCAATGAGCGTTTTGCCATTGACTTCACTGGTATAAGGATTTCACCCACTGCATGTGTACTGTACAAATGCAGATGATTTATAAAAGTTAAAAAAATTATTAGTTATTCAAGCAGATATCTTTCAATGATTGTAATCAGTAACCTTTCTTTTTAGATTACTTTGGAGCAGATGGTAGAAGAAAATTTGTGGTTAGCACAAGAGTTTCAGATCTTTCAGATATATTATTTAAATGATAAAGAAAACCTTATGGATCTCTATGACGATAGGGTCAAGATGGAAGCTGCTGTTCGAGATCATCAGCAGGTACACTACTAATATAATTTGATTCCTCAGCTAATCTGTTTTCTCAAATGTATGTGTTTATTTATTATGGTGCTTAACAAAATTGAATAGTCAAGTAATCCATTGCTGATTTCTGGCTATTGTATTCTGTTTTTATTCTTTGTTTGTCTCATATAGAACAGTTTTTAAAAGTGGTGCTTTAAGGATATATAGGGTCTCACTCTAAATCATCCATTTTGGAACTTACATTGTATCTATACAAACAACGAGTAATCCTGTGGCACCTTTGCCCTGGTCTACACCAGGGAGTTATTTCGAAATAACCCCCCTTACGTGAAAACAACAAGCAGCACATCCACACTACCTAGCCTGTTATTTCAAAATAAGGGGCTGGTTGTTTTGAAATAACTCCTGCTTTCCATGAGGAGTTACGCTTATTTCAAAATAGTGGTAGTGTGGATGCGCCACTGCTGCTATTTTGAAATAACTACTCCCCAGAGTCATTCAAAGTAATTACTCCCTCATGTTTCCTGGGGCTCTAAGTTGACGTAGCATGTCCACATTAAGGGAGCCTGCCTCAGACTAATTTCAAGGCTTCTCTATAGTGTGGACATGCTATTTCAAAATAGTTATTTCAGGAGTTATTATTTTGAAATAAGTTATTTTGAAATAGTTTCATAGTGTAAACATGCCCTTCAAGACTAACAAATATATATATAGTATCATGAGTTTTCATGGGCAAAACCAACTTCTTCAGATGAGATGATTAGTTCCAGTAATTTCATGTAATTCAGTATTGCAAAGAACATCTCTGACATCAACAGTTAAATGAAGGCTCTAATTCAGGAAAACACACATAAAAATACTTCCCTATTCAGTAAATCACTTAAATACAAGCTCACCTTCAGGCATGTGCATAAATCCCATTCAGTCAGTTGGTAACTGCTTCAATGAATATCTATGATTGTGGCATGATGGCAATTGTTTCATATTTTAAGGTTGCAATTGAGTTTCCATTATAAATCTGATTTAACACCAAACACCACCCTTTTTTAATAATGAAAGAAGTCAAACCTGCCTCAAAAATACTAGGGTTAATTCTGAGGCCACCAAATCATTTTTCTGCAGCATACACTTTTATTAGAGAGTGTTTAAAAGAAAAATCAAACAAAAAAGAAAAAGATAGAAACCAGTTTGCTGAACTTCTCAGACAAGATATAGTGCCCATGACAAAATTTTAATAAACTAAAGCCTCATTTCAGAAGTTTTTAACTTTTTATTTATAATGTGATGTGGAACATCAGGTCAATGATATGTAGGAAACCTTCATTTTCTAAGGAAATAGTGTATATCCATTTTTTCTAGAGATGGACTTCAAGATGTAAACCAATCAATCCCTAGTGTATCTTTTCAATGGAGAAAAAAGATAAACTTTCTAATATGCTAGTTGGATTTTAGTTGTGGTTTTATTTGTTTTCTTTTTTACATCTCTTGTATTTTTGAGAGTCAATAAACATGTAAATCATTATTATCTGGCCACAATCTTAATTTTCCTAACAATATTCGGTGGGAAGTATCATACATTCAATTCATGTGTGCATTAATCTAATCCCAGTATAGTAACCACATTAAAAAGCATGCTTCCTCAAAGCTTTCAACTTTACAGGATGTTCTAAGAATCCATATGATCTGCTAAGACTTCAATATCTTAAAATAATTTTACAAGCTCCATTTTCATCATACAAACACATCAGCTGTGGATATATTCATCACCTATATGCATTCTGTCAGCCATTCATCGCTTGTGTTCCACTTGTTATTGACAGTTATCAATAGGCAAGTAATCAGTGTGTTCTTGTTGATCTCACAGCCTTCCATTTTTCAATAAGTAAATAGTTTTAAGAGTCCAAATGTAGGTCTAACCAATCTTTGAAGAAGGAGCTAGAGATTTATTATGAAACTGATTAGCAGTTCACCACATATATGCAGTGTGTAGTTTACAACTGCTACATCAGCTAAGAATTTTAGGACAATCTAGAATTTGATGGTATGCCAGTGCCATTTAACAGAGGCCTATAAAGCAAGAGTTAGAGTCTTATGTAGGATATTAATTTCAGTGAATTATAGAATACTAGAACTGGAAGAGACTTCAAGAGGTCATCAAGTCCAGTCTTTTGCCCTCACCTGCTCTTAAATACCTTCAATGATAGAGATTCCACAACCTCCCTAGGCAATTTATTCCAGTGCTCAACTGCCTTGACAGTTAGGAAGTTTTTCCTAATGTCAAACCTAAACCTCCCTATTTAAGCCCATGCAGCAGAAGCATAGTGGCTGCTAACTAACTTTGCTTTCTGATAATTTGCACTTTCTAAATGAATAACCTGGCCAGCTATAATGCCAAAACAATTATATCAACACCAGAGACAGAATTTTTTGGAAATGTTGACAAATGGAGTAAAGATGTTTGTTACATATAGGCCCTATGAAATGGAGGCTTTCTCAGGTTTTTACTAATAAGAGACTCACACGTGCAACACAAAATCACTCACAAGTGCAACACTGTAGGAGTGCCTGTGTAATGATTTTTTAAGCTGCTGAACTATGCATATACAACACAGTGACATGTATATTTGAGAAGAAAAGAATGTATTCATTACCTTAAATCTACAATGCTCTCTTTTTTCCTTCTCTATCTTAGATATATAGCAGTCACTTTTTAAAACAAGTTGATTTAAAAGGTAAAGTAGCAATGTTTCCCATTCTGGTTAATTTCATCTGGATATGGCCTTCACTTACTGCCTGTAAAGTGTTGAGAAATTGCTGTGTAGTTGTCAAATAGTTGCTTCATTCAGCGTCTCAATTTCAGTAATTTAAGTACAGGCAGTCTCCAGGTTACGTACAAGATAGGGACTGTAGGTTTGTTCTTAAGTTGAATTTGTATGTAAGTCGGAACTGGTACATATTGTAGGGGAAACTCTAGCCCAGGGGTGTCCAAACTTTTTTCAAAGAGGGCCAGATTTGATGAAGTAAACATGCGTGAGGGCCGACCATTTTGCCTGACATTCTTTGAACCATTAAAATTAAATGCAAATTAACTATTTTATGCAAAGTTTATTGCCTTATTGTGAAATAATGCTGCTGCTTAGGTGTACCCCCAGGCTGTGTCTAGACTGGCCAGTTTTTCTGGAAAATCAGCTGCTTTTCCGGAAAAACGTGCCAGCTGTCTACACTGGCCGCTTGAATTTCCACAAAAGCACTGACTTCCTACTGTAAGAAATCAGTGCTTCTTGCAGAAATATTATGCTGCTCCCGTTCGGGCAAAAGTCCCTTTTGCGCAAAAGGGCCAGTGTAGACAGCTCAGATTTGTTTTCCGCAAAAAAGCCCAGATTGCGAAAATGGCTATCGGGGCTTTTTTGCGCAAAAGCACGTCTAGATTGGCCAAGGACGCTTTTGTGTCCGTGCCAATCTACACGCTCTTTTCCGAAAATGCTTTTAACAGAAAATCATGCCAGTCTAGACGTAGCCCTCATGTCTTGGTCACAGCACTCCTGTTATTGTATTCCAAAATCATGTTTGCTTTTTTTGCAAGTCTCACACTGTTGACTCTGTGACAGACCCCCCCCATTATGCTTTTTGAAATGGACTCATGGACATGAATATACATAACTCACAGGTGCGTTGAGTGAATTATTTTGTGTAACCCATCAATCTTCATGTCATGATCCGCTGGTTCTGTTTATCTCACTTTGATATGCGTATCATTTTTTAGTGTAAAATTAGACATATGGAGTGGGGAATACTTTAGCGGGTTTTAAATCTCTTTTGTCCTGAAATCTGAGCAGCGGTTGGTAGGGAGTGGCCTCAATTTCTTAACAAAAAGAATAGCAAAGCAGAGGCCTAGGTTTTTTGTCTGGGCTGCACCTGAAGGAAGGAGCCTGAGACCCCTGGGGTGGGGGAGACAGCCCTGGTTTAGAGTGACAGCTGGAAAAGAGGTTTTAGGGTGAGTTTGAAGAGTTTGTATTGAGGTTTCAGTGTAGAATTAGCCAAGCGTTTTTGTTTCTTTTGATTTGTAACTTACTTTGCTCCGCCTGTTCTTGCTTATTACCACTTAAATCCTACCACTTCCACTTAATAAAATCATTTTTATTTTCTGTCAAACCCAGTGTAAATAATTGTTACTGAAGGGGGTGAGGGTGGGGGGCAGCCAGTGTGCACATTCCCCCTTTTATTGTTAAAAGTCGCTTAGCTAATTCTTTGGGGTTTGATCCCATCTGGGGAGTGCTCTCTCAGGAGGCTGGGCCCTAAACTGCACTCTCCTTGGACCTGAAGTGGTTCAGTGTCTGTACTGCTTCTCGGTGAGGGCAGGGACCTCAGCTCGGGGCCTTGGCTGGGGGAGACCAGCAGAGCTGGCCCAGCAGGACTGGGAGGTGAGGCGCCCCAGAGAGCAGGAAGGTGAGTGGCAGTGGCCATGTCAGCACACTAGGAGGCACCCCCAAGAGGTCATCTGTGACCGCATCCTGTCACACTAATAAAATGCAATCTTTACCCGATTTCCACTCATACGACAGCACATTTCATGAGCAAGTTTAATGACAGTCCAGGAATTTAACTGCTAAAATGCATATCAACAGAAGACCATTATATTGAACTACTTTTTTTGTTTTGGCTCCTACCCGTGTGCTGCAAATAAATGAGCCATGGGCTGCATGTGGCCCATGGACTGTGTGTTGAGTAGCCTTGATGTCTAGGGTTCCCACGGAACCTAAGAATGGTGGGGGTGGCCATTATTGGTGCCCATACCACTGCAGTGGGTAGTTATAATAGGGCTGGTAAGCCTGTGGGCTCTTGAAAGAGACGAGTGGTGAGGAGAAAAATAAAGATCTCAGCTTAAAGAAAAAGAGATCTTAATTTTCAGTGGAGAATCCATCATTGCTTGGATCTGAGTGCAAGACTTTTCAGTTTCCCCCTAATAAGTGAAACGTCTTGTTCAATGGTTTACTTTTAAAGAATCATGAGTGACC